ACTAGCAGGTTATATCCCCAGCAAAGCCGTAATCCTCCTTGGTGGCCGGCCAGACAGAGTGTGTCTGAGTGTGAATGGGCCCTTTCCCTTTTATACCCTTCTGTTTGCATAACAGAGTGTGAATGGGGGACTCTTGGAAGGTTCCCACAGTCTGCAGCCAATGGCGGTGCAGAGGGAGACAATGGAAGTGTGCAAGCAGGCAGTCTGTCCAGCAGCATCTGTAACAGACCATAAAACCTTAAAGAGGAAGAAGAGTGTGGGAAAGCCTCATGGGCCCCGTAAGTCGGGTGCAATTGATCTCCTCGCTCTTCCTCTGACAGCTGTTGCTATCAAAACAATGACTTTTTTTTTTTTTTTTTCGGCTCATTAAAACTTAATATTATCCCGTGGCACAAGATTCAGCGTGTGCTCACAATCCCGGCATCGGCCAGATGCTACACGCAGTTGGACAAACACGTTTGGAGGCACATGTCTTATGACTTGGATCATGCCGAAGGACGAACGTTGGCTTGTGTCTCTTTCTTTGCCCGTAGGGTATTTATAATTCAGTGCCCTTGAACCCTGAAAGTTAGAAAACGGAGGTTTTAGTATATTACAAATGGTATTAGTGAGGCTCGGCAAGGATCGAAAATGCATATAGCCTATGTGTGTCTTCCATATCTTCAATCTTATATGTCTTCCATATCTTCAATCTTCCTTGTCTTCCATATCTTCAATCTTCCATGTCTTCCATATCTTCCATATCTTCAATCTTCCATGTCTTCCATATCTTCAATCTTCCGTCTTCCATATCTTCAATCTTCCATGTCTTCCATATCTTCCATATCTTCAATTTTCCATATCTTCCATATCTTCAATCTTCCATATCTTCCATATCTTCAATCTTCCATGTCTTCCATATCTTCAGTCTTCCGTCTTCCATATCTTCAATCTTCCATGTCTTCCATATCTTCAATCTTCCATGTCTTCCATATCTTCCATATCTTCAATTTTCCATATCTTCCATATCTTCAATCTTCCATATCTTCCATATCTTCAATCTTCCATGTCTTCCATATCTTCAGTCTTCCGTCTTCCATATCTTCAATCTTCCATGTCTTCCATATCTTCAATCTTCCTTGTCTTCCATATCTTCAATCTTCCATGTCTTCCATATCTTCCATATCTTCAATTTTCCATATCTTCCATATCTTCAATCTTCCATATCTTCCATATCTTCAATCTTCCATATCTTCCATATCTTCAATCTTCCATGTCTTCCATATCTTCCATATCTTCAGTCTTCTATATCTTCAATCTTCCATGCCTTCCATATCTTCCATATCTTCAATCTTCTATATCTTCCATATCTTCAATCTTCCATGTCTTCCATATCTTCCATATCTTCAGTCTTCTATATCTTCAATCTTCCATGCCTTCCATATCTTCCATATCTTCAATCTTCTATATCTTCCATATCTTCAATCTTCCATGCCTTCCATATCTTCAATCTTCTATATCTTCCATATTATCAATCTTCCATGTCTTCCATATCTTCAATCTTACATGTCTTCCATATCTTCAATCTTACATGTCTTCCATATCTTCAATCTTCCATATCTTCAATCTTCCATGTCTTCCATATCTTCAAACTTCCATATCGTCCATATCTTCAATCTTCCATGTCTTCCATATCTTCAGTCTTCCATGTCTTCCATATCTTCCATATTTTCAATCTTCCATGTCTTCCATGTCTTCCATATCTTCCATCTTCCATGTCTTCCATATCTTCAATCTTCCATGTCTTCCATATCTTTAATCTTCCATATCTTCCATATCTACAATCTTCCATGTCTTCCATATCTTCAGTCTTCCATGTCTTCCATATCTTCCATATCTTCAATCTTTCATGTCTTCCATATCTTCAATCTTCCATGTCTTCCATATCTTCATTCTTCCATGTCTTCCATATCTTCCATATCTTCAAAGCGTCTTGATGTCTTAAGAGAAAAGTACGACAAAATGGCGCCCGTTCTCACGCTGCCTCAGCATAGAGTGAACTTCTCTTGGTAAAAAAATGGCTTCAGCCATGGAGGAACCTCCTTCAATATATTTTGCCTCATTGTAGAGGGTCTAAGCTGGAGCCAGTTTTGACTAAAGCGGTGGTCACATGACCCTAAAACCCCACCCGCCTCCTGGCTTCAGAAACTCTTAAAGGGCCGGGAGGCAATGGCGCAAAGGGGTTAAACAATTCTCTTTCCTTTAACCACGGGTTGAAGGAAACTAGATCACTTGATACTCTCATCAAGAAATTCTGGATTGATGGGCGAATTCCTCCCGCTGATCTGTCTATGGCAGTGGTCTCCAAACTATGGCCCTCCAGCCGTTGAAGTACTACAAGTCCCATCACACCTCTGCCTCTGGGGGTTAATCAACTGTATTCAATTATATTTAAATTGTAAGATGTTTTCATTTTTGCACTCTTCACGATTTTTGTTTTTTTTTGCCCAAAAGTCTGTCAAGTGTCATTTTGGTTACATTATGAAGAACAATACATTCTCCCATGAAGCAGAAAAAATAAAGAATGAGGCTCATTAATACCACACAGTTCCATCCATTGGTATACTCTAGAGATTAGAAGTGCATTCTGGGTAGTGCCTAATAAAGAACCTGCCACGGGTCTATTAAAGTTGCTTGGCATCACAAGACGTAAATTTGTCCTATTTCCCAGGCCGGGGTTCCCCTTAGGAATGGTCCCAGAAGCCTTTGATGTGGTCTTTCCTTTGATAAGGCCAAGGAGCCAGCTCCACCCCGTCCCTCCTTCCCTCACCTTGTCCATACTTGGCACTCCAGTGTCACATGTCACAAGTCCATGTAAAGCACACTCTGGTGTGTAGGACAGGGCGGTAGGCAGGATTTTCCCATACAGACGTCCAAGATCCTGAAACAAAAATGTTCTAAAGTTTGAAGGTAAAGATCATGGCTGAAGGGTTTTTTAGCCGTCATGTCTTATTCCCAGATTTAAAATGGAATATTAACAAATTGGTAGGAAGCTCCTTCAAAGAGGGATCTTGTTCCTTTTGTCTGACGTTGGTGGTGTCATTAAAGGATGTATTTGTTATGTCTTTTATGAACTTCTAATGGCCACATACACGGGTTGGCTACCATAGAATCCTGTTGTAATTGCAATTGGTATCGATCGGCTACATTATGAATGCCAATGATGTAAGTCGTCGGACTCCCTATCAGAAATAAATGGGAAACTATTTGTCTTTAGGACCCCACTGGCACAATCCATGTGACTTAGGGCCAACTATTTGTCTTTCGGACCCCACTGGCACAACCCATGTGACTTAGGGCCAACTATTTGTCTTTCGGACCCCACTGGCACAACCCATGTGACTTAGGGCCAACTATTTGTCTTTCGGACCCCACTGGCACAACCCATGTGATTTAGGGCCAACTATTTGTCTTTAGGACCCCACTGGCACAACCCATGTGCCTTAGGGCCAACTATTTGGCTTTAGGACCCCGCTGGTACAACCCATGTGATTGAGAGCCAACTAATCATCTTTTAGACCCCACTGGTACAACCCATGTGATTGAGAGCCAACTAATCATCTTTAGGACCTCACTGGTACAACCCATGTGATTGAGAGCCAACTAATCATCTTTTAGACCCCGCTGGTACAACTCATGTGATTGAGAGACAACTATTCATCTTTAGGACCTCACTGGCATAACTCATGTGACTGAGGCTCAACCAATCATCTTTAGTACCCTGCTGGCACAACCCATGTGACTGGGGCCTACTTTTCATATTTAGAATCCCACAGGCATAACCCATGTGATTAAGGGCCAACTGTTCAGCTTTACGGCCTCACTGGCACAATGTATGTGACTGAGGGCCAACTCCTCAGACTCCCTCTCCCCCTCTGTACTGGTCAAATATAAATGGGAAATTATTTGTCTTTAGGACCCCACTGGCAAAACCCATGTGACTTAAGGCCAACTAATTGTCTTTAGGACTCCACTGGCACAACCCATGTGACTTAGGGCCAACTAATCATCTTTTAGACCTCACTGGTACAACCCATGTGATTGAGAGCCAACTAATCATCTTTAGGACCTCACTGACATAACCCATGTGACTGAGGCCCAACCAATCATCTTTAGTACCCTGCTGGCACAACCCATGTGACTGGGGCCTATTTAGGATCCCACAGGCATAACCCATGTGATTAAGGGCCAACTGTTCAGCTTTACGACCTTGCTGGCACAATGTATGTGAGTCAGGGCCAACTGTTCACCTTTAGGACCCCGCCGGCACAACCCAATTGATTGAGGACCACGATTTGTTTTTAGAACCCAACTGGTATAACTTATGTGATTGAGGACCAACCAATCAGAGGACCATGCTGACACAACCCTTGTGACTGAGGGCCAACTGTTCACTCTTAGGACCTCACTGGCACAATTTATGTGAGTGAGAGCCAAATGTTCACTGTTAGGACCCTGCTGGCACAACCCATGTGACTGAGGGCCAATCATGTGATTAAGGGACAACTATTTATCTTCAGGACCCCACTGTGACAACTTATGTGAATGAGGGCTAACTATTCATCTTTAGGACCTCACTGGTAAAATCCATGTGAATGAGGACCAACCAATTATCTTTAGGGCACCGCTATGACAACCCATGTGATTGAGGGCCAACCAATCATCTTTAGGATCCTACTGGCATAATCCATGTGATTGAGGGCCAACTATTCATCTTTAGGACCCTACTGTGACAACACATATGATTGAGGGCCAACCAATGATCTTTAGGACCCTGCTGGCACAACCTATGTGATTCAGGGCCAACCAGTCATCCTTAGGACCCTGCTGACACAACCTATGTGACTGAGGGCCAAGCTATCATCTTCAGGACCCTGCTGTGGCAACTTATGTGATTGAGGGCTAACTATTCATCTTTAGGACCCCACTGGCACAACCCATGTGAATGAGGACCAACCAGT